AATTATTTACTCCATTTAAAGATAATTTTTTTGTTATTAGATAATCAAGCTCCTTGTGTGTTGCATAATCACCATAAATAATTAAAATCTCATTTAATTACGTATTACTTTTAAAAGTTGATTAATATCGAGGAAAGGAAATCACAAGATTGGATAAACCTACTAAACACTCGCTTAGAAGTAACCACGAGAACTATAGCTCTTATTTGGTAGTCATTATTTGAAACCTTTTTTTTCTACCAATTCATTTTTAAGTACACATTCACACGATAAAATATGGGTAAATTAGGCACTCTACACTATTGAATTAATCAAATTGAATCGAATAATACACTTTCAAATTAAATAAAATACTAACCACGTAATTAATACGTCCTAAAAGCCAAAACCCCCCAAAATTAGATCCCCAATTCTCGTTCCAGAAGACAAACCTCCTTAACAGTTCAAAAAATAAACCCTCTTCTATGATCTCCGCCGTTTGCTCTCTGTCGTCTCCACCTTAGGGTATCGGCCATTCTAGGTATAAACGAAGCGCAACAAACTTAGCAATTGCAACAACAATGGTTCTCAAGTAAATCTCTCTCTCCTCCATATATATATATATACACACATCTGTATGTAAGCATGTATCTGTCTATATATGTATATACATACATCTATTTATAATTGACTATTCCAAGATGTTTTGATTATAATCAATGTGGCATGGAGATACCTGCTATTTTAATTTTTAGAGCGGTATAGAATTTTATTTATTTTTCTTTTCTTTTCTTTTTTTTTTTTTTTTTTTTTTTTTAATTTATTCTTTTTTTTTTTTTTTCAATGTGGCAGAGAGATACCTGCTATTTTAATTTTTAGAGCTGTATAGAATTTTATTTATTTATTTATTTGTTCAAAGTTGTAGAATTTCTGCTATGTTAATAGTTGTAGTGGAAATGTTAATCTTTAAATGAAGAACATATGTACTACTAGGCGATTTCCAATGTTTTTGTTAAATCATAATTGTTGAATTTCTAATGAGATTTAGAGCTTACATTCGTGAATCTGATAGGTATTCTTTGATATATTCGCGAAACAACCAAATATTATAACCAAGCCTTCAAGAAGCACCCATAAGAAGTAAACATCAATAATATGATCCCCATGCTTGACCTATAGATAATTTGGTTTGTAATGGATTCCTAAAAGTTTAGTACTTCTATCACATTTTTGGTATTATTATTATTATTTTTTTTTTATTTTTTTTGCAGATGGCCTTCAGCCATGGATGAAATGGGCCTACTTCATTTCTCCGATGAGTTATGGACAGAATGCTATAGTGATGAATGAATTTCTAGACAAAAGATGGAATGTTGATTTGTAGAATGATGGCTTAGTGGAGATAGTTGTTGAGATGAAAAAGAATTGCAAATCATGAAAAGTTAGTGAATCTGATGCTATTAAAAAAAAAAAAGGCTTATAAAAATGGCAATAGGGAGAGACGTCCAAATAGTACTACTGAGGATGCCGAGGAAAATGAGAAGTTCAAATATGCACTCACTTCTGCTATCGATGAGAGAATGGAAAGTAAGAGTTGGTCAAGTTGTCATTTTCTTATTTGTCACTTTTTTTTTAGGTTTTTGTCACCTTTTGAGTTCTCATTTTTTGGGTTATTTATCACTTTTTAAAATTTTTGTCACATTATTGAATAACTTTCAAATTCAAGTTAATACGCTAGTTAATAAAAGTGAAATATAATTACAAAAATATCACTTTTTGAATTTCTATCACTTTATCGAATAACTTCCAAATTCAAGTTAATATTTTAGTTAGTAAAAGTGAAATATAATCACAAGGAGACCACCACTTTTTCAAATCTGCAAAAAAAAAATCAATCATCCATTGGATCTCCCATAAGCTTTTGATTGATGTTAAATGTAATTTGTCACTTTTTTAATTTGTGTCATTTTATCGAACTGATTCTAAGGTTTTGATTGGTTCTATCATTTTTTTTTTTGAATGTCACTTTTTTGAATTTTTAAGCATTTTGTCACTTCTGAGTGCTTTTTTTTTCTGTCACTTTTTCGAAATTCCTATCATTTTTTTATTATTTGTTACTTTTTTAAAAAAAAATTCTATCACTTTTCGAGTGATAAATATCATTTTTTAATAAAAGTAATATTTGACTTTACACAATATTTTCAACTTCCAAAACATTTTTCATATGATTTTTCAAAAGATCCATAATTTTAAGTTGCCCATAAAATATTATGCATGTAAGTCAATTTTTTAATCAGGTATTTTTCAAAAAAAAAAATAATTATTCAAAATATAATTTTTCAATTATAATAGGCGGGCTAAATTGACGCAATGAGAACGTGCATACACTATACATATTTCAAAATTTTGAATTATAATCTTATTAAGCCTGAAATTTAGTTTCGACCCAAATAACACCTAAATGAGGGTGAATAGGTGATTGTGCGAAATTAATAATTAATAATTAACTAGCAACAAATTACTATTAACTATCTCTAAATGATTAATCAATCAAGTCAATTTTCCTTAGTTGAATTGCCACAGTGATATGAAAGCAATAAATAAACAACCAGATTGATCACAGAGAAATTTCAATTGGGTAAAAATTTCGGGCACTTTGTCGGTCAACAATCTACTATAAATGGATTAGAACTTACAGTCCGCCGGACTCGATTACCACTAGTATTTTCTGACCCCCCCGACTGCAATTCTTACAGCCTTCCTGGATTGCGTGCTCCTGCACCAATTCTCGATTTTATGAATTAGTCTATCTCATGTGATTCAATGAAGAGCTCAGCGTTCTCCAACAATTGGAACTTCAGTCACCTTCCCTTAATCTTCAAAACTCTGACAAATGTATAGGAAGTAGCAGTTTGGTATTTGGATTATGGATTTGACGCTTTCAACGTCAAGATCAAATCAAAACGCGAAAGTTGAAAACTTGTTTGATAAAGAGGATATGAAGCAATAAGTATTTTCTCAATAATCAACCTTAAGAAAAGTCATTTAGAGGCTTGCTGGCATTTATAATTTAGGTTTAGGATAAAATGTGCCAAGCAAAAAGCCTTAAAAAGGCCAATTAAATTTTTACGGAAAACACTGTCGTTTGAGTGAAAGTTGGGCGACTGGCGAGCGACAGTGTGTCGCTCGAGCGAAGGTAAGGCGAAAGGCGAGCGGCAATGTTTTTTTTCTACCACTCTAGCAAAGTCATTGGACAGTCTAGTGAAATTACGATGCCTTTTTTTCTTTCTTTCTATTCTCGAACTCTAAACCTAATACAACTCAATTAATAGTATTTGCAACTTGCTCATTGACTTTTTTAACACATTAATTTTAGTTCTATTTGTTCACATATTTGCTAATTATATTAAAAACTTAACAAAGCCAATGTTTGACACACATTCTTTAAAAATATATTCTTCCAAAACTCATTTTCAACTACACATTTTTTAATAAAATAATATTTTCCTTCACATCAATAATCTTTTCTATTTTTTAAACACATATTTCACGTGGTATCATTATATAAAACACATTATTTTCTCGATACTTTAAAAAAGAAAGAAGAAGATAACCAGGAGATTTCTGTTTAACTCTACTTTAACCTTCGTTAAACCGAAAAACTTATCGGAAGAATCTCACAGCAAATTATTGGGTAAACATCTTCCTCCCCCCCTCTCTCTCTTTAAACTGTGATAATTTTTGTTTCGTAAATGCTGTATGTTTGCTGTGAAGAAGATTTTAAACGATATGTTGCCTCTTCTTCTTATTTTCAGGGTTCTTGTTTTTCCCCTTTCTCGTACATCGATTTCCTGTTTCTTGCTTTTAGTGAATCACCTTAGTTTTAAAAATCAATCATACATATGAAATTATGAATTTCTTGATGTGGATATGCATGCAATTTATGATAAATTATGTGTATCTTTTTACTTTGAAGATGATGATATGAATCATACTCCCACAGAAGATACCGTTATTTTATAAAATTAAGAATTATACAATCGGATTGTCAAAATTATTTCTTTATTATGTGTTTGGCTGTGGATTGGGAGATGATTGTCGGCAGCTGTAATTATGAATATTGTTGTAACATATTTTGTGAGGCAGTAATAAATGGATGCTTTAGGTGGCTTTTGTGTTTGATTTATTTATCTTGTTTTATGTGCCCAGTTGATCAGAATTTTTTATGTTGGGATAAATTTGTTTTTGTGGTTCCTACTGCTATGGAAGTTTTTCGAAAAATGGCTCTCTAAAATTTGGGGTATGTATCTATAACCATGAGAGAGTAAACTGAATAGAAATTATTGTTTCATATTGGTCATGATGATGCATATTGGATAGGATTCATCAAGTTGTAGTTGTGTTGTGTTGGGACTCCGTGCAACCTAATAATATCCACTTACTCTTCGATCACAAACTTTTCAAGGGTATATTGATATATCATACATGTAGGTTGCCCTATTATTTTTACTGTATAAAAGATTTTAGACTGTCGATTTTCAATATGTGAGAGGCATTTTCCATTACAATGAAATCGACGTAACTCTCATGTCGAGGGTGAACCTTTTTAAATATGTGGTTTTGCTTTGGGTTTTTTTTCTTTCTATTTTTCATTGCAATCTTAAGAAGCCATTAAGTCTTACTTCCAACACGCTGGTGCTTTTGATATCTCTCTCGACTCTGATCTGTTGTAAAAAGTTGTTGATGTGTGAATATGTGTTTCTCGTGAATTGAAAAATACAAATGTACGGTCCTCCAATACTATGCATTCTTCATAAAAATCTAATACTAAAAGACCTATGCATCATTTCTGTTAGAATAATGATGCAGTTGTTTATTTTATCTCATTTGTTAACTTCTTCTACATATAAGCTAACATGCACATACAGACGGTAGTCTTATTTTGCATTGTAGTCATATTGACTAGTAGTTCTTTGTCCTTCGCTTACAGTTCGTGCAATTTTGATCTGTTTTAAAGAAAAATGGGAGACGGAAATCACAGGAATGATACTGAGGATAAAGGGCTGTTTTCTAATCTTGCTGCATATGCCGCTGGAGCTGGACACTACCCCCGTCCTCCAGCATACCCCCCACAAGGGGCATACCCTCCTTCACCATACCCTCCACAAGGGGCATACCCTCCTCCACCATACCCCCCACAAGGATATCCCTCACATGGTTATCCACCACATGGTTACTCTCCACAAGGCTATCCACCTCCTGTTGGGTACCCACCAGCAGGCTATGCTCCTGCAGGATATCCGCCACCAGCATATCCACCACCAGGTGGATACCCTCCATCAGGTTATCCCGGTCCATCCCACTCAGGTATATTTTTTTGTTATAGACCAATTGTTTCCATTTATTGTTCTTTTCTGCTATAAGGAGGAAAAAATAAATCTGGATTTATCTCCTTTTTCTTCTTCCTCTATCATTTGCTTTATTGACTTTGCCGTGTAAGAATCATCTTTTGTGGAGCCTAGCATTATGAATTCACCTGACAGTCATGTTTAATTCCATCAATTGTCGTAAAGTTATATTATTTCAATGCTTGGTTGTAGTTGTCTTTCTCAATTCAGAATATGAGATAACTGATCCAAGTTATAATTTCTATACATTTGATCTCTTTTGTCAACTATTAGATATTAGTATTTTGTGTTACACAATACATAATTTGTTATCATTTCCTTCTTCCCGAAGATTTTCATATGCATGTTCCTAATTCCTAAAGTATTAAAGCCAATCCATCAGTTTCTTTCTCTTTTAAAGGAATCTCTTTTATCTCTTCTAACTTTCGCAATAGTATGTAACTTTTGCTCAGGACCTGTTTCTTTGTGATTTATATGTTTTATGCTGATTCATTGGTTAATGTTGAATAATTCTTGTGGTATGCAATTCTTACAGGTCATGGATCTGGTATGGGAGCAGCTTTAGCAGGGGGTGCTGCAGTGGCTGCAGCTGCTTATGGGGCACACCATCTGGCACACGGTGGATACCACCACCAGGGGGGATTTTTCGGCCACCATGGAAAGTTTAAGCATGGGAAGTTTGGCAAGCGTTGGAAGCATCATGGCATGTTCGGAAAGCATGGTGGAAAGTTTATGAAGTTCAAGAAATGGAAATGACATTATTTAGTGTTGTGATGATCTTTCATTTCTTTGTTATCGAATAATCGTGTGGGTTTTCTGATTGAAGTTTGCATTTGTTGTTGCTAAACAAAATCACTCGACTACTTGGTTTAATTATTGTATAGTTGGGCAATGCAAATTTGATGCTTATTTGCATTTTGTCCGTCTCATTTGGCTTATGAAATCTTATAGCGGCTTCCATGCGTGAGTTACACTGATGTCCTTTAATCAGGAAGTAATGGAAAAGGTGAAAATCGGTTCGTGCTGGGCCGGTTTTGCTCACCTTGTATCTGGCCCAGCACGCTAATATTATATGAAAAAATTATCTAAAACCAGTTATTTAAGTTTTCAAATTCAAAAATCAGGTGTAATATTTATTTTATCAAAAATCGGGTGTTAATTAAATTAATAATTAACTCTAATTAAACCTAAATTACAACCCTGTCTTTCATTCATCTCTACCTCTGAAGTCTGAATCGTCCACCCACCCACTCTCTCTCGTCTCTCCCTCCTCGCTCTCTCATCTCTCTGTTGTCCTTCCTCGCGCCATCACTGGAGACCACTGACACTGCTGTGAACGCCAGCAGACTGCAGACGCTGGTTGTCTGATTCCATTAATGGCGAGGTAAAATCTGATTCCATTAATGGCGAGGTTTTCTCATGGCTTGATGGATTTCCTGATGAGTCAGTTATGTATATTTGTTTTGGGAGTCAAAAGGTGCTCAAGAAAGCACAAATGGAGGCTTTGGCAAATGGGATCGACTGGAGTGGAGTCCGGTTCATATGGGTGGCGAAGCCGCTGACAGCGGAGCAATTGGCGGAGGGTTTTGGATCGGTCCTTGAGGGGTTCGAACAGAGGCAGAGCGTTGTTCTTCATTGGAATCACAAGGGGGGAGCTCTTCAAGCATATCTGAATTGGAGAGTAAACCGCTTCAAGGTATTTCAATTTTTCTCTCATATTTACTTGCTTATTTGCGTGTTTTAATCAAATAATGTGAAATTCCTTTCAAATTAGTATACATCTTACTTTTCTTTTTGAGATTTTGCATTTTCAGTCTTTCTTTCCTTCTTCCCCTTAATTTTTGCCTACTGTCATCATTTTATAAATTACTTGCCATTGTTCCCTGTGTAACGTGAACATCTCTTTAGGAAATGTAAGATGTTAAATTTAAGTTTCTTTATCGAATCTACCGTTATAATTCAATTCTGCTGCTTATGCTATTAATTCTTCATTTAGGTTTGATGGATGTCCTGATGAGTCAGTTCTGTATGTTTGTTTTGGGTGTCAAAAGGTGTTCAAGAAAGCACAAATGGAGGCTTTGGCAAATGGGCTCGACCGGAGTGGAGTCCCGTTCATATGGGTGGCGATGCCGTTGAATGCGGAGCAATTAGCGAAGGGTTTTGGATCGCTCCTTGAGGGATTCGAATAGAGGGTTGTAGGTCGATGGTTAGTTAATTGAAAATGCAGATGTAGAACAATGGTTAGAACTAGAGCAGTAGACACAGCATCAGGCTAATTTTTGTTTTTGTGGGAGCTCCCAGGCCTATAAATTCTGTTTCCACATTAGAATTCGACTAGATTGTTAATTAAATGAAAAAAAAAACACTGTAATGGCCGAAATATGCCGTGATGAAGCTTGAAAATATAGCCACGAAGCTTGATGGATATTGATTAGTTGTACCACGCGTAGGGCGTGCATCTTTGTTTGAAATTTGGGGATTTTTGGACATTTATGAGGAAAATTGTTGGTTTCCCAATAAAACTTCGAAAAAATGTGGTGTTGGTTATACCCAGTAGCTTTCACTTTATCATGTGGACTTCAATAAATGTCATGTGGATTTGAGGTGAAGGTAATATTTATGAACATCGATTTGGTGGTACATTGGAGGTGATGGTTATGGTGGTGGATTGCGATACTTGTATGCATTGTGTGCAGATTTGTTTGTGGTGATCCTATGCGACCAAATATTTGTTTGTTGTGACTATTTGTGACCAATTTTGTGTTGATTGTGACCGATTGTGGCTTGAGATTGATCTGGTCACAGACAGACACACTGAATATAAATTTGGTCACAGTCAGTCACACTGAAGACAAAGTTGGTCTCGATTAATCACATGTCAGCGATAAGATTTGTTTATGATGACCTTATGCGACCAAGTATGCGTTCGTAAATGATTGTGACCAATTTTGTGTTGATTGTGACTGGTTGTGACTTGAAATTGACATGGTCACAGATAGTCACACTGAATACAAATTTGATTACAATTAGTCACATCGAATACAAATTCGATCACAATTAGTCACTGATAACTCGAAAATCTAATAAGATATTATTAATTGATATATTATTAATTTGGTGGGGTTTGATGGGGAGGGGATTTTATTAATTTGGTGCGATAATTAATTCTGATTGATTATATATTATTAATTGAAATTAACACTAGAATGTCGTATACATTATTGGTCACAAGAGGTCACAATCGACACAAACTTGGTCACAAATAGTCACAATTAACATTAAACGGTCACAAAATTTTAAGTGTAAACGGATTTTGTCACAAACATTCAATGTTAGTACATACCCGATCACATTTAGTTATAGGGAAGACAAATATGGTCACAGAAAGTCACAATGAAGACAACTTTGGTCATAGTTAGTCACTAATAACACATGCATGGAATGAGGGTTGTTCTTCATTGGAATCACAAGGGGGAGCTTTTCAAGCATGTCAGAACGGGAGAGTGACCAATTTTGTGTTGATTGTGACCGGTTGTGACTTGAAATTGATATAGTCACACTCAATACAAATTTGGTCACAATTAGTCACATTGAATACAAATTTGGTCACAGTTAGTTACTCATCACTTGAAAATTTAATAAGATATTATTATATTGATATATTATTAATTTGGTGGGGTTTGATGGGGAGGAGATTTCATTAATTTGGTGGGATAATTAATTCTAATTGATTACATATTATTAATTGAACTTAACACTAGAATGTCATCTACAATGCATTATTGGTCACAAGAGGTCTCAATCGACACAAACTTGGTCACAGAAATTTATTGGTCACAAGAGGTCACAATCGACACAAACTTGGTCACAGATATTCACAATTAACATTAAATGGTCACAAAATTTTAAGTGTAAACGGATTTTGTCACGAACATTCACTGTTAGTACATATTTGATCACATTTAGTTATAGGGAATACAAATATGGTCACGGAAAGTTCCAATGAAAACAAATTTGATCACAATTAGTCACTAATAGCACGTGCAAGGTCACAAACTATAACATATAATATCAAACATGGTCATAAATAATAACATTTTACACAGAATTGAGCACAAATAGTCATTGTGAGACAGAACTTGGTTACATACAGCACAAAAACACATAGTCAATAGTTCACTGACTCACAGTCTTATGAAATACAAAAAAAATTTCAGAAATTAAGAATTATGATATATAGAAATCTATTGAACATAAAAATGCACCAAATTAAATGATTAATCGGCTAAAAAACTACTGCTATATTTATACACATTTTGTCTTCTTATTCCCCCCAAAAAATGGCAACAAAACAATATGTGACTTGTCCATCAACAATATAGTCAAGGCCCCTATCATTATTTCCAATCAACCTTCATCACCTATTACCAATATTATTACCATTAATGCAGCATGGATACCAACTACCACTAAAACTAACTGGTGCAATTTTTTCATTCTAAAGGGCCAATTTCTTGCACTCATGTATCGTGTATAAATAGTAAATACCAATTTGTTGGCTATCTTGATTATCGTTTGGACACAGAACAACACCTCACCACGACCACTAACAATCAAACCTCCATCAACACACCACAATCACAACCCAACAAAAAACCCCAAAGTCGTCATCGCCGCCGCCACCTCAAATCCACTGAGAAGAGAGAACAGATTGTGTCCATCTTGCAACCCAAAACCACCATCACCACCATTTTTGGCCGCCAATAGCAATTGACGGAACAGCCCCAGTCACGACTTCGGATATCGAATTTCGAGGCAATTGAACAACAATTGGATCAATTAAATGTGTACCCACTATCTTCTGAGTATGAATTTTATTTTCTCCCATGTGAATTTGTTTATTGAACAATGTAGGAACCATCAGTTGACTGGTAGACGATTGCCTTTTTCACGGGCCGCAAGCTCCAAAACATGGTCGGCTTCCCGATTCATCGAATCTTCATCTTTCCCTTCTTCTGCTGCACGCAATTTCTTCCGAAGTGGTGTTTCCCTCTGCCTACTCCACCTCCTCTTCGTTGTCACTGGAGAGATTTGAGAGTGGAAACTTTGATCAGCTTGATGTATTGGACAAAGAGCATAGAGAGAGAGAGAGAGAGTGTGTGTGTGTGTGTGTGTGTGTGGATAGAGAGAAAGTGGAGAGATATTCATTGGAATTTTATTGATTTGGTGGGGTGGGTACGTTTAGGGTGGGATGCTATTAATTGGTTGGGATAATAATTTCAATTAATTTTTCCCAACCCTTTCTCTCGTCTCCCCCCCCCCCTCTCAGCCATACCCACCGAAACTCATATCTCCCCCAATCCCAAAAATCAGGTATGAACCCTATCATTTTTCATCTCATTCTTCTCTTTCTACCACATTCTTTCTCTCTCTCTATACTCTCCATCTCACAAAATACCCACCGGCAGCTTCAATCTCCCATCTCCATCTCTATCTCTTTACCCTATCTTGTCGTCGCCATTGAGGAGCTCTCACCTCCGGTGACCACCGCCTACTACCGGAGACCACCACCTACATCAACAATCCCCCGCCAGTGCAGCTGTAGAGCAGATGACACAGAAGCGAGATTAAAATGTCGACAGCGGAAGTTCCTGGGCGACGACGGTGGTGGACAACAATGTTACTGCTTCCAATGCGAGCACACCGTCACCGCCAATCGCTGAGCTCATTTTCCCCAATTGCAGCGGCGACTTACTTGAAGATTTCTCATTTGCGTCCTCAGTCGCCTTCCCATTAGCTTCTGGAAGATCTGAGAGCGACAGTGGTTTTCAGCAGTGGTGCCATCGGTGTGTGGTGGTGGGGTCGATGTTGGTTGTGGTGGTGTTTGTGGTGGTTTGGGGCTGATGTTGAGGTGGTGGGGTTGATGTTGAGGTGATCCTTGAAAACCAAATTCTGTGATGGCTTATCTGGTAGCGCCGAAGTTTTTGGGGGTGGTTTTTGTTGGTTGTTTGACTGCGGCTGTTGTATTGTATTGATGACGCTCGTAAAGTTTTTATTTAATTTTTGAAATTAAACAATCTCGTCGGCGCCATTGCAGAGTAAGGATGACTGGATTGATGTGGCGGTGGTGGAGGCGTAGTCGGCGCCGCTACAGAGTAAGAAGGCTGCAACCGAAGTTGGTGGTGTCGACGAACTTTTCTGATCCAGATCGTTATTTGACTACCGGGTAGTTCATTGTGACCGATTGTGACCGTTTGTGACTGATTAATTGTGACTCGTCGAGACCAATTGTGACCAAATATGTGTGTATTGTAACTGATTGTGACCAATTTTGTGCTAATTGTGACCGATTGTGACTTGATTATGACTAAGTCACAATCGGTCACAATTAGCACAAAATTGGTCACAGACAATCACACTGAACACTAATTAAGTTACAGTTAGTCACATTGAATACACACTTGGTCACAATTAGTCACTGGTTATATAAAGTGACTTAAAATTTTCTCGGTAATTTTTTTTGGAGGTGGAAGCAGGGGTGGGGTGGTGGTGGTGAATCCATAGGTTGGAAGTGTGATTTTCTAAAAATTTTGAAATCGTCGGAGAGGTCTCCGGAGAAGTCGTCGGAGCGGTTACCGGAGAAGTCCCCGGAGCATTCGTCGGATCCATGCCGGAGATGGAGGGAGGTGGTATAGTGAGGAGATGGGGTGGATGAGATGTCATGGGGTGTAAATAATTAATATCTATTATATTATAATTTAATATTTAATATATTATAATTTAATATTTAATTAATCTATTTACCACCTGATTTTTGAAATAATTAAACAAATTTGTTAGTTTTGAAAAGTAATTATTATATGTAGGTTTTGTGTATTGTTCCCTTTTTGAAATAATATTACAAGTTTGTTAGTTTTGAAATGTATTTCTTAAATGCATGAGTTATGTATTGTTCCCTTATTATATGGGCCTGGTGTAACCTGTGCTGGGCTATTGGCCCTTACGTTCTTTTGGGCTTGTCTAGCAGTAAATATCGTAGGGTGCTCGTCGGAATTTAGATTCCAATATTTTCAACAAATCTAAAAAATAAAGGAAATTTTGATGAATTAATTAAAGAACTCACACCAATCTCAAGTTGATAATTACTTTTTTAGTATTATTTACACCATTTTTTTCCTTTTTCAAAGTTTTTTGGTGATATATGGTAAAAGTAATTAAATCGACAAAACTTTAGATAATCCATTCTATTCCTCATCACTCGTTTAACGTGAAAGTGAGTTGGAGACAGTTTAGTTTAGAAAAATTTCTCCAACATCGCAAGTCTTTCGTTTCTTAATGGAATTCATTCTTTTATTTTTTAGATTAGATCTTTCTCAACTTTGAGTGTTGTTTCTTTTTAGAGACAACGGAAAATATGCAAAAATATATATTTAAAACTCACATATGCATTATGCTTACAAATCGAGTAAGGTCGCATAAAAATTAGGTAAGTCAATCTAAGTATGTAATCGAAAAGTAGGGAAAAATTCATATATGAGATTTACCCTACATACCATTTCAAAAATAAGAAAATAACTTTGAAATTTCTAAAATCAAATATTTGACGTATACACACTATATATATAGTTAACCCACCCCACCTCAACCACCACTGCCGCTCCCACGACCGTTCCGGCGACTACTCCGATTTTGACGACCGTTCAGTGACTATTCCTTTTTGATTGTTCCCGGCGTTGATTTATTCCGGCGACTGCTCCAATTTCGACAATTATTCCAAATCCGGCGACTGCTCCAAACCGTGACTCTACAAAACAACATGTGACATGTTAATATTGATCCGTGACCAGTTTATATTGATTTGTGACCTATAATTAACGACTGTGACTATGATCTGTGACCTCAAACCTGTGACTGTGACCTTAACGACGAATAATTAACCACGGTTCTATACAACATGGTCATAGCTATCAAATTAATTAATCATACAGATCCGTGACCCGTCTATATTGATTTGTGAANGTTCAAACATTTTATAAGTCACGAATTATTTCGAGGTCACAGTTCAAACATTTAGTCACAGATTAAAAATTTTGGAGATCACGAATTATTTCGAGATAGCAAATCAATAATTTTATAGGTCACAAATTATTTTATTGATCACGGATCACAAAATCAACATTTTTCTCAGTCACAAATCAAAAATTTTATAGGTCACATATTAGTTTTTCGGTCACAACTTAATTAACTGTGAGTCACCATTCGAATGTCCTAGTTAACTAATTGGTCACAAGTGACCAAATAGTTGGCCACAGGTCAACGACTGAATCACGTACCAACAACCACCTCTACTGCTACAAAAAAACTATCGCCACCAAACATCACTGCCACCACAACCACCAAACCCACAGCCTCCACTACATCCAACACCAACATCACAGCACCACCACCTCGCCACCGCAGCCAAAATCAAATTTTCTTAATGCAAAACAAGGAAACAACTCACCTAGGAACAATTATCCATGGCAACCATCTGAATCTGAAAGAGAATTTCTTGATCACACGCTCATGTTCTTCCATGGGACTAATAATCCAAGAAAGAGAGGTAGAGATCCTCAGCCTTTTTCATCTGAATTCGATACCGACCTTCACTTATCCTTTGGAAGACAAAAACAATTGCGAAGATCACAATCAGTTAATTCTTGTTCAATAATGGCACAAAACTTGTCTCACCATATCAAACAACAGCGCAATGAACTCCAGAATCTCCTTCAAGCACAGGTACAAAGCCGAATTAATCTCTAACCCTATTTGGTGCACTGCTGCAGACAGTGGCAGACTCGGAAGCGCAAAGGCTGAGAGAGAAAGAGACGGAACTAAAGAAGGCGGCGCAGCTAAACTCCATCCTGGAAGCGCAGGCAGGGCAGATAAATGCTGAAGTGCAAATGTGGCAGGCTAGGGCGAGGGAGCAGGAGGTCACAGCGGCGATGCTACCGGCACAGCTGCTGCAGGCTGTGAAGGGGTGCAGTGCACATCAGGTACAGATGGATGCAGGAAATGAGGTAGGATGCACCGTGGGTGATGTGGACGATGTAGAATCGCAGTACATTGACCCAGACCGAGTTGTTGAGTTGACTGGGCCGAGTTGCAAGAGATGCCGGTGGCATGACGCCTCGGTGGTGGAGTTTATTAAGATTTGGGGGTCCATCTTAAAAGGTCAACCTTATTAAGAGGAGTAGCCCAAAATCTTTATTAATTGGTCTATGTCAACATCTTTATTCGATGTGGGATTATATCCCTTAACAGAGTTGCCGTGTCGGCATTTTTGTTTGGAGAGGAGATGAGAGAATGGAGGAGAGATGATTTTAGGGTTAGAGTTTGGATGTGGTAGATAGTGAAGAGAGCGTGTATATAAATTAATTAATTGGGATGAAATTAAAATATAATTTGTGCGTGCGTGTGTAATTAAAAATATCTAATTTTTGGAAATTAAAATTTGAAATCTGATTTTGGAAAATAGATCTTGAAAAGTAGGGAATTTGGTAATTTGCAATTATATAATCTGTGACTGTGAAAAAATCTGTAATCAAATAATTTGGAAATTTGTGTTCGTGTGAGCTTTTGTGAGTAAAAATATAATCTGTGACCTTAAAATTTGAGAATTTGTGACTAAAAATATAATTTGTGACCAACAATTTTGTTATCTGTGACCAACTAATTTGGAAGTATATGATCGTGTGACTTATAAATTTTGATATGTGACTAACTAATTTTGAAATCTGTGACCAACGAATTAATTGTGACATACAAATTTTTTGAACTGTGACCCTAAAATAGTCACCGGAATAGTCACGGGAATCGGAGTAGTCGCCGAACGATTGTCAGAGCGGCAGGGTGGTGGAGATGTGGTGAGTTAATTATATATATAAAATATATAAATATATATGTCAAATATTTGATTTTTGAAATTTAAAAATTGTTTTCTTATTTTTGAAATAATGTATAGCTAAAGTAGAATTTATGAATTTTTTCCCGAAAAGTATCGAGTCTTCGGATCAACCCGATTCAAATTTACAAGTCATGTTTTACCTTATCGTGTCTGGCACGATCATGCCTCTATATAGTCCTATTGAAAGATATTGAAAACTAATCCCCCCCTCTCTCTCATCTCTTTCTGTCTCCGCGTCTCTCTGACTCTCTCTCCCCCTCATTGAGTTGCCTTTTTAAAAAAATATTTTTTTTATCCTTGAGATTAATGCTTTTGCCAGCCCATGTGAGGCATCCAGGAAAGATGTGACGTTTGGTACCATTCTATACACACATATACATCACCATGAACTTTGCCAGTTATATCTGTTTCCTCGAATCACCATAGAATCATATACTACTATTTCCCTTTTACACTATCAAATACACTTTTTTCTATTTCTTTTAACAATTTCTTTTCTTTAGATTCTGAGCTTAATTACAAGGTAAGGTTTTTCTCTCCATTCCAATCTCCACCCAAGTTTCTCACGGCCCATAGCGTGCGTGTATCTTAGGCAGTGTACCTTTAAAGAAGCATGAACTTCAAGGCAAACTATGACAAATCAAAGGTTTTTAGCATAATGTATTTTGAGGGATTCCACAAATGTTAGAATCTAGAGCTGGTTTTTAGGTAAAAATGGGATCTTTTAGTGGGTTAGGAATTGGGTTGAGTCTTGTATTTGGTTTTATTCTAATTGGTCTTGTGGCAGAGCTATGCTATTTGCTATGGTGGAAGAAGAGAATAACGAGTAGCAGGGGAGAAATTGAAAGTTTTTCTTGTCTGTTTTGCTGGAAGAAGCCTTATTCTGTAAACAGTAGCCAAGAACAGACAAATACAGTGAAAAATCCAGCAGAATCCATTAATAGGCATGAGGAAATTGACCTAGAATTAGGGTCAAGCAAAGATTTGCTATTGAAAGGGTACGGTGAAGATGGCGTTGAAACTGAACTGATGAGGCTGCACAATCTTTGGGGGCCCCCAAGATTTCTCTTCACAATCAAGGAAGAAAGCAAGGAGGATTTGGAGTCTGATGATGGGAAATCAAAGGGTGATAGAAGTAGCAGAAAAGGATCAAGAACAAGAAGTTTGAGTGATCTTTTTATTGGCGTAGATGGAACTGGCACACCATATTTAACCCCTATTTCTTCACCCTCTGTTAAGGCTTTTGATTCTTGTTATAACCATGGATTTAATCCTCTTTTTGAATCATTATCAGAGGCTGAAGTTAATAGATTAAGATCTTCACCTCCTCCAAAATTCAAGTTCTTGAAGGATGCAGAAGACAAGTTATTTAGAAGATTGCTAATGGAAGAAGCTGAGAAAAGAAGGGTGGGGTTTTCAAATTTGAGTGAAGAAGAAAAGAATGGTTCTTTCATGTCATTTATCAATAAGAGCCATAACAAAGAATCACAGGTACTTCCATTGGCTTCTTCTCCAACATTCAGACCAGAACTTGACAAAAAATCATCAGGGAAGTAGAATTTTTTTTTTTTTTTTCTCATTCATTTTTCTTTCATCTGTTAATTCAGATTATAGAGATGGATTAAATCTGTGTTTCTGTTAGTCTCTTATGCTAATAGAGAAGATAAATTTATCTTCTGCTTTTGTTCTACTTTTAGTTAGGGATGTTTGTCACTGTACAATATTCTATTTACCAAACATGTTCTTTTGTGCCATACTCTCAATGATGCTTTGTCGTAGAATTATGATACAATCTGTTTGTGAAGAGAATGCTATTATTACACTCAAATACTATCATTCTATCGAACAATTTCCCAAATGGAATTCTGAATTTAATTAGGTACAATTACTCATCATGAAATCTTTCTGAAACTCCCCTTTTCTGTTAGCATTGTTTTGCTAACGGCTAACCTTCCGAGCATGTTTGGTCCATTCAATTGGATATTAAGAAAGAAAGAAAGACGTGTACTCAAGATACAAACGATCTTTTGGATGGTTTCTGGTTTTCTTTTTTCGTAAAAGAAAATTATCCAAACACCATCAAAAACAATTTCTTAATTTTTAAGTAATTTTTGACTTTTCGTGTAAATGTTCATTTGAAAAGGTTTACTATTTGCTAGCTTTGCAAGTAATTATATTGTTGGTTAACTTAATCATGTTGCCAACTTTATCTAATGTGAAACGCCACGCTCCATTGGCAAAAGCTGACATTAAAATGTTATGATATTGGATAAATCGATTTTTTCTTTCTTTTTTTTTTTTTTTTTTTTTTTGGTTCTTTTAATAAAGGGTGTGAAAAGGTCTAAAAAATCTAAAGGGTAGTGTAAAACGGCTGGATTCGGTGCCTCATTTTTCAGCAAATAAGGTGACAAAGTTGGAAAGATAATTCAACTTTTTTCTTAAAGAAATGAAAATTCACGTGATTTTGCCCTAAAGTCATTTCACCATGAAATGTAAGATTACGTAAATTATGGGATTTATTTCAACTACTTGATTTATATGTGTTTGATTGACTTTATTTTTTCACCTAAGTTCCTAATTTTTGGGTGTTCGATTGACAATTTTTTTTCATGAAAAATATTTCTTCAGGGAGGATGATTTTTATTTCAGTTCATCGCTGAATTTTAAGAAATATTCCATTCAAATCATCGATATAGTTTATTAATGTGTACAAACTAGTAGGAATGAAATTCAAACTTTAGGTAGAATATGATTTTTTGACAAATTTGGATTCACCCTCGACTACACGTTCTTGATTATATTGAATTCATGATACAACATTCAAAGGCATAACAGTATTCATTTGTCGAAAAAGTCAATATGAAAACAAGGCTCCCGTTTGGTTTAGATAAAAATCAAATTTTTAGATGATGACTGTATCGATCAGATGTGTATAAGAATGACATTGTCATTAAACTCTCTTTCTCTCTCTCATCTATCCCCTTCCTTTCATCCGCCAACTAATAGAAAATGGACAGACATTTTTTTGTGAAATTCAATGAAAAGTCTGAAATAAATTAAAGTTTAGTGGTTAACTGACGCACAGTGCAAATTCGATGGCCATCATTGAAAATAACCCCTAAATTATGAGACATTTAGAATATGATATGAATTGCCGTAAAATCTCATCAATCAACAAAAGGTGTCGCAATCAAAGGCGAAATTATTCAAACTCCATTGTCCTCTTCTTGTCAAATTTTCATCAATTATGCTACCGATACAAAGGTTGTTCACAAAAGTGTATTGACAAAATGATGTGACAAAATTTATGTCATTGATTTCGAAAACTGTTTTTTAAACCATTGGCCAAAATGTTGTCAACACGTTTTTTGTAAACCAATTTTGTAACCTTAACTCATACAGTAGACTTTAATAATTGGGAATGGCTTTCATCAGCTTTTTATAGACGTGATTATCGAGTGTGGAAATTTTATCTTATGTCAATCTTAATTTTAATTATATTTTCAAATTTGAGAACGATGAAAAGTTACAATCATAAATTGATGACTCGTTTGAAAACAACAACTCTTTTTTACTCCAATATATTGAGTATTTGATTTAAAGGTTATCATTGTTTAAGGACTTTGCTGATTTATATATCGTGATTAAAAAGATTCATAGATGGCTTAAATTTAATCAAGCAAAAGAGTAAATTTGACGTTACTGTGGTTATATTACAATTAGCTATGATTTTACAAAATCAATCATTCAAATTTTAAAACCTAATTTTAAAGCAGTATGGGGAGTGCACATGAGGAGGGTCCCATTTTAATTAGTATTAACAGATTGCAAACGTAATTTGATATAGGGACCACACTCACCTATTACAGATTTTGATTTCTTGTGTCTGATTTTGAATTGAAAATTTATGGCCCCTATGCTATAATTTTTATCTTTAAGGGTTGTGACAAAATATTTGCTAGTAGCCTATTCTTGTGACAGCATGACAGATTCTCAAGTTCAGGAAAATTAAATTCAAACTTTAGGTAGTGATTTTAATATGATTTTTTGACAAATTTGGACTCACCCTCGACTACACGTTCTTGATTATATTGAATTCTTGATACAACATTCAAAGGGGTAACAGTATTCATTTGTCAAAAAAACTCAATATGAAAACAAAGCTCCCGTTTGGTTTGGATAAAAATCAGATCGACCAGAAATTCAAATGACAACATTTAGTAAATAATCTCTCAAACTCACTTATCAGTGGTTAAGACGAATGAGTCGGGTATCTCCATAACACGTCCGCCCATGTACTCACACCGTCAGTCACCTCCCTTATTACGGATGCCACCTCGTCCACACTAACTCGAATCTGCTGCTTGCTATCCCTTTCCCGGACTGTAACTGAGGATTTTGAATCAACTGTAATTGCAAATGGCACTCCAAGTTCATCTGTTCGAGCATATCTCTTTCCTATTGATGTACCTGCATCATGTTATAGATATGAATAGCTGATAACTAATTGTTTACTCTTCAATAGTAAATCAGAGTAATAACTATATGATTCTGAAAGAGTGTGCACCATGAGATGCCAATTTGTGGCATGTATAATATGAAAGACTAAAGCATAGCAGTTCATTATGTGTTGAGATACGTGGAAGAAGAAGAGAAGCAAGACAGTGGTTATGTGCTGTGGTTATGTGCTGAGCCTGGTAGAGCCGAAGCAGGATGAAGGGGGAATATAATGTCGTCCGGGCCTTATTCATCTCTCGATTGTATGGACCAAACAGAATTAAGAACGTTAAAGGGGGTAAGACGATTGTCAGAGAATTGGATAAATACCTGAAGGCATCTGATATTACAGAATCGGACAAACTCTCAAAGGGAAGGGAAAGGCAAGGCACCATTGTCGAACAGGGTGTATTGAGGTTTCACAGAATGAAGCCCAAGAGGAGATCAACAACTCACTTCAGTGGATAGTGGGCAACGTCCGGGTTGGGGTACTTCAATACTTAACAGGCAAGGGTATTCTGGTTGGCTAGCCTATTCAGAATTTCGAGATGTATCAGTGAACAAGATGAGAGCTGTCTCCCTAATTAATTGCATCAGTACTGCCACCAAGAATATGGTTCAAGGGGGAAAGGACCAAGGAAAAATGGGTTCCACTGTTCATAGGATCAAGAGGTTGAAGAACTGAACAATGAATGATAATGAATCAGAGTGAGGGAGTTTGAAATACTACAGAAGAGGTAGAGAGAGTTTGGTTATCGTTGGGAGATTGTAATAAAGGGAAAAGGCAGTAACCAATGGGAGGCAATAAATAGGACATTGCTTCTTAGATATTCAAGGATGAAGAGATGACAACAATGATAGAGAGAACAGGGATGATGGAAACGTGAACAAGAACTTGAGAGGTTGAAAAGCTCGGTAAACTATGACGGATAAAAAGAAAAGAAATGATATCAGGGAAGGAACCGTTCTTGTCAGAAGATTTCCTGTCAATGAAAAGTTGAACAAACACTTCTTGTCTTGTAAATATCAGTTTGCCATTAATGGGGAGGATTTGAAGGGGTCATATAAACACAGTTGTTATTCCTTTCCCCCTAAAACTAAGAACATGAGCCTGAGTCTCCATTGGCAAAGTTTTTAATAAATTCTAGACTTATCCGCACACCAGACTTTTTAAGTACCAAGACATTCCAATAGGATGTCCTGCAAGTTTCTAAGAATTCAATAACACAACCAAAATTCAGGACAGAACAAGAAGAGGAAGCTGAAAAACAGGGAGGGGAAAGAACTAGCAAGCTCACTGGAACACCTAGACATAAACACTTTCTGTAGATCATCATTTTGCATGGAGCATACCTGTTATGTCAATCTTATATGAGATCCCAACAGCAGTCAATGACTTGGCAATGAATCTGGCAACTTCCTCATATTGTTCATTCTGTACCAGAGGAAATACTGTACATTTGATGGGTGCTATAAGCGGAGGGAAACGGAAGACATTCAACTGTTCATCTCCATCTCTACTAGGTCTGGTATAAAAAGAATGCTCGTACAGACAGTATATAATCCTTCCAATACCAAATGACGGTTCAATCACTGACGGTGTAAAAACCCTTTGATGTTCCTTTTTCTTTTCTTTGGAGATTGACAACATGTTCTTCATTATAGTCACAACCTTGTCAAGAGTACAGACATGAAACTCCGCCTGTCCCTTCTCTTCCAGAATAGCTTTCATTTCCATAGCTTCCTTTTCCCCCATGGCCTATTTAAAGTATGAATGGGAAAATTCATAAATCTTGAAAAGCCAATAGTTGTATATGCAAATACATTCCATTCACAAATCAAAATGTTGGTCCTGATCACAATTCAAGGCATATTTTTGATAAAAATACATGCAAGTGGAAACAGATTTCATAAAAAATCTAGACTCTCCAACCTCTTCCCGAGGTCAAAAACATATAACCATCCCTCCCACATCTCTAAAAAGAACATGATGTCAATCTAAAAGAATCGGACTTATCTTATTTCTATGAAAAGTAAAAACTCGAGCATCACTACTAGACAAGAGGGAGATGTCCAAATGTCCAATCCTTTCTCAATCTCCCAGCCAAGTAAAAACAGAGAGAAAAATATGAGAATTTAAACGAAGAACAAAATTGATACATTTGAGGACTGCATACAAGATCGCCTGACAAACATCTAATATTCAAAGGAGGTGCATGCATGGCAAAGTTTAAATTATGAATTAAACTGGGCAAACACTTTTATCCACACATTCTATGCCCCCACAACTTATTACCCACATTCTGTAGGACCTGCTGCTTAATTATAATTCAAGCACTCCCAAACAAGCACATAGTTTTACCTCCAGTGCTTCAACCACCATCCGTTGGTCACCCTTGAAGGCAAGACCCAGCTCTTTCTTCACTGGAGCTATAACAAGTTTCTGGTAAAGATAAAATTAACATTAGATATATAGTTTACAACAATGCAGCACATTATCAAAGTTATCAGATAATATGTATGCAGAACAGGCATGTGAGAGAGAGAGAGAGACCTCCACTTCTTTGGGTTCCAGAAATTTTTCATGAGCCACCAGAGCAACGCCACTTTTATCCTGCATGAAAGTAAAGATGGTCACACACACCACTACAGCATTCACCATAAAGGAGCATAAATGTCCTGTCACTAAGTCACTAGTCATCAAGTGAAACACAGCAAGTATTTGCTACTATCACTTCCTTAAAGATATTCATTCGTGCATTAAAAGGAAATATGGACAGGGGTGCATTCTTAATAAATCAGTGAAATTCTCCATTCCAATATATAGTATAAACCCATGCGGTATACAAAGTCAACTGAACTCTTACTGTGTGAGCACGTAAATCATATGCAGATCTGTCGGCAATACCAACGCATTCAATCCAACCATAAGAGCATTCGATTTCAGCATCCCAACAGTCTGCAGCATAGTGTGCCATCTCATTTGCCAGATGTTGGCGGAATCGTAAGCGATCTTTGTCAATTCCAAGTTGAGTTAAAAATAAATAGACTCTCCCAATGAAATAACCCAGTGTTTCATTATTGACAATCCCCTAAGCAACACAGTATCAAAAGTTATTGACAACATAGAGAACAAAATCTCAAACGTACTATAAAGGAATAAACTATACAGGCATATATTAGACCAACCTGAGAAACGGCTTCTCCAATAGGTATTCTCCTTGCTTGTTGTCCGGACACCTGGTCTTCTCTTGGGAACATAAAAAATTCCAACTCTGCAACTTCAGAAAATTTAGGATGTGACTTGTCCTCAGGATCCACAAAGTGCTCAATCTCTGCTAGTGTGAATTCACGGACCCTTAAAAGACCTTGGCGTGGAGAGATCTGCAAAATTTTTATGTTTTCAAATAATACCAATAGCACAAGCAACGTTTATAGCAAATATGAGAAAAAATAGAAAAAAGTAGATTAATTTAAGATAATTAAAAATGGGCTTTTTAAGACAGAGTTCTGCAAAATTTGTATGTTTTCAAATAACACCGATAGCACAAGCAACGTTTATAGCAAATATGAGAAAAAATAGAAAAAAGTAGATTAATTTAAGACCATTGAAAAAAGGCTTTTTAAGACGCTGCATATTTATATTTAAGCGCAGAAAATTAGAAAAAGTGTACAGTTTGCTGGACTGGACTCTCCAAAGCATCCGAGTCTCAATTTTCACAAGGACTTACACCAAAGGAATTGGCTTCGCATTAAAGAAACTCAAAGCAATCATGTGTATTTCTTGTTTTTACTGGGCTAAATTTAGAAAATATAAAATAACAGTCATTTTTGCCATTTGCTACAACAATTGCAGTCTATGAGCCTCAATGAACAGTGCATCTGGTGATTTTGTAGGTAGATTAACATATAAAAAAAAAATATTTAACACTACTACATTTGTGATGTAGCATCACGTTATCTCAGTTTCAGATGTATAATATATCCTGTGAATGCTTAATCCCAGACATGCATGCAACAAAGCAACCATTATGAAAGAATTTGAGACCTCGTTTCTAAAAGCTTGACCAATCTGTGCAGCTGCAAAAGGAAGCTTGTTCCCATTATAGTAGTACAAGTCTTTGAAGTTCACAAAAATACCTTGAGCAGTCTCAGGGCGCATGTACCTGCAATCAATTAGCCATCAAAAATCAACTTACAAAAAGATTTATATTAAGAAATCATTAAATTAATGCAATCAGTACAAAATTGCATAATCCGATGTATAAATACACATTCTCACCCAGGGCTCAAACCAGATGGGCCTATTGATGTCTGAAACATGAGATTGAAAGGATAGGGGTCAGAGAGATGGTTCTTCGTATCTGGAGCTGAAATGCCATATTCCTTGATCTTTGCACCAAGCTCTTCAGCAGAGAGGTCATCCAACACAGCAAGCACATGCCTCAATTCTGCTGCCTTCTCCGCACTTAGATTAGGATCTTTCTCAAGCTTTTCTTTGCAATAATCCTTTAGCAGGTGATCTGCTCTGTAACAGGTTCCAGTTTTTTCATCTTTAACCATGAGGTCAGTGAACTTATCAACGTGGCCCGATGCCTTCAGCACAATCTCTGGTGTAACACAAGGGCAGTCAACTTCTAACATGTTTTCTTGAAGGACAAAATGCTGCAGCATTGAATAACGTGTTAACTGGGAAAAGTAGATATTTAAAACATGAAGGAGCAGTAATTGAGATGCAGCAAAAACCAATGAAAAAGAAAGAAATAATCTGTATCACACAAGAATGTATCACCGGCATAGAGGAGCCAATTAACTGCTGTTCTTATACTGTCCCATAAAAATTGAGATAAAATATAGCATTCGTGCATGGAATCTAATATTAACTTGAATAAATTGAGGCACAAGCCTCAATAAACTAGAAGTACTATGCAGAGCATTGAAGCTTCTGAAACTATCTAATTAGTATTTAATTCATATCAGATTTGAATCCGCCATTTAATAATCGACATTTTTGGTATTATATAGTGAACTAAAATCCTAGTTGTGAAATGCACGCCAAGCCAAAGGACAGCAATATGCAAATTTGGACTCTCTTTTAGGGTTGAAGTGAAAGCCATTCCCAAAGTTTATTATTGTCACGACTTATCTTCCCTACTCAATTAACAAGTGCTTCTTTTCCATGTAAATTTAGCAACTTTGCCAAATTAGTAAAGTTTGCACAATTTTGAGCGAGTCACCCCCCTCCCTCTGGTACCAACTGATGATGTTGCTAAGTTTGTGCTTTATCGAGTTTGTGGTGAATAAAATCAAGAGACGCCTATGCTAAATATACCAATTGACAAAAAGACTACGCATAAATTCTTACTAAATATATAATTACAAGCCTTAATCCTAAGTAAAGAAACAAAACTGCACTTGTGCATCATGGCATGACATGAAAACAAAAACTGCAATTAATTTAAGAATTCTAAGGTAACAATAGTTGAGAAAATGAACAAATTCCAGTGAAGAATAGTAATAATAATAATAATACTGACCTGACGCCAGAAGGCGAGGACGTTAGACTTAACGGCGCAACCGGGGGGTCCATAATCGTAGAGGCCAGCAACGCCACGGTAGATCTTGAAAGAAGGGATGTAAAACAAACGGCGTTCGAGGGTATTACCGACGGCCTGTCGGAATGCCTCTCTGTTGTGAGCTTCCAGTGCGGCGTCCATTTCTGAGGGCAAAAATCACAATCACTCCCTCAGCTAAATATCAGCTCAAGATTTTTTAGGTCACGCTGTGAAATAAATGCCTTCTTTAAAGCTTCTCTTTGGAAAGGTTACATTATTCTTTTTATTATTATTTTTAAAAAATCTCTTCTTCAAAGTGAGTTACATTGCTTTTAAGTAAATTTAATTATAAGACAAATTTTTAAGCTCAACAAAACTGCCTATTGTTTTCTAGGTCGGCATCGACGGCTTATTATAAGTAGTGCAATGAAATATATAGTGGTATCAAAATGAATTTGACGGTAATCTTGAGGGATTGTTCAATTGGTCAGACCTTGAATTTGTTCTGCAGTGGTTATCAGTTCAAGTCCCCTCATAGCTATTGAGATGAGTATCCAGCCGTAAACTTCAGGATCTTATGAGATGAATTGAGGTGCACGCAAGTTCGCCCGAACATCCATAATTATCAAAAAAAAAAATTGGACGGTGCTGTTGCTAAGATGTAATTTGTTCTGTTTAATTGGGTTCCTTTAAAAAGAAGAAAAACTATCATTTTCTAACGTGGAGTATTACTTTTAATTCTGTAATTAATTATTTTCCTTTAGTTGAAAGAAAAGGGAATAATGAATATGATAAGAGTGGACCGGGCATAGGCGGGTGTGTTGAGTTTGACATGTATTTTATAAATAAAAAGAGTAATTTTATTTAGTATTATTTGAGTTGCAATCTCAATTTAGACCACGTTGATGTGACATTGAATGATAATATTTCATTTTGTATTTCATTTAACGTATCATCTAACGTAAACTATACTAACATTGTAATCTCAGAATTATTTAAATAAAAAAACATTAAAAATGAAAGTAAGAAAAGGGAGAAGGAAAATAACCTAACCTGGTTTTGGATAATTGGGTTTTGAAGAAAAAATGGCAGTTAGGCTGCTTCTTTTCACACTTGACCTTTTAATTATTCGAATCATCCCCCTTCTCTTACGCCAACTACCTCTCTTTCTTTTTGTTTGAGAGAGTGTTCAGGGAAGAAGAAGAAGAATGAAGACTGTGGACGTTGTAGCCGGCTTCAAGCTCTACGATATGTACATTTGGGCCGAAAAGCTAGCCCAACCCATTTAGTATCCAACAAAAGTCAAAGTCAAAGTGCCTTATCATTTTTTTTTTTCCCAACTTTACCATATTCAAATACAAATTTCATAAATCATAAATTTGATTCACATACCTTGAAAAATTTTAAATTATACTATATTCAATTTTTTTTATTAACATAATGTGCATTATTTTCAGGACCCTTTCATATTAGAGAATTGTATATCAATGTCTCACTCGATGTTGATATTATTTGTCTTTAACTTCCCTAATGTTATTTCAATCAAATTTCTGAATCTACAATCGTATCGACGCAAATTTGTATACGGATCATAACGTTTGAATTTTTAGGGCAAAAAATGTTCAAATGGGGCAGACCCGGGATTTTCCATAGGAACATTGAAACTTAAAAAAGTCAATGTAATGAAATTTATATATTGAAAAAAGTCATTAAATGACATTATTTATTTAGCCCCCGTTTGACACTCATTTTTATCTCATTCTTATTCTCATTTTTCTACAGTACTCATTTCTAACCACACATTCTTCAAATAAAATAATATTACACATAAACCCAAAAATTTTTCTTACTTTTTAACCACACATTCTTACATCAATCACTATTCAAAAACTCATTCTATAAACTCAAAAATTCTTCTTACTTTTTAACCACACATTCTTTACATCAATCACTATTTATAAACTCATTCTTAAAAAAATTGGGTGCCAAACACCCACTTAAGTAGTGTTCGACCAGGATTTGAAATATAATATGCATTTAAGTATCATACAATCAGTAAATTCTTGACCAGGAATCTAAATCTATTTTCTCAGCAAATTCTCGTTCAATAAAAAGTATCATATAATCAGTAAGAAAGTCATACTCTATTTTGTTGCGAAGTATCATCTTCAAGTGCCAACTTAGTACTCGCGGTAAAGACAAGTAATGTCAATACAAGACAAATCAATCTAGTTACCATAATTTAAGTCTCCGACTTTCCACTCTTAATCAATTGTCTGCATAATTGAAAATGAATATGCCGACAAGGCAACACTATAATAAATTCATTCAAATAAATTTTTTTATAAATAGCGAATTAGACATCAACAATTAAGTATCTGCAATGTGAGTTTATCACAGCAGTGATATAAAATTGAGTGAGGTATTCGAGCAACCGGAGTCTTCAAATAATCTGTCAAGTTGAGCTCTACAAAACAAGAAGAGTAGAATTTGTAATTAAGTACATTAACTCAACAATATTAAACTTTAATCTTTAAAGGTATTTAAGAGTAAAAACTGAAATAGCAATCCAAATGTGTAACTAAATATAATGGCCCCCATCTACAGCTTCATCAACTAAAGTTACTGGCTTACTGATTCTTTTTTTTAAATGTCAATTGTTAAATATAGAAAATAATATGGAGTATTTTCCATTATAGTATTTCCTTTTAGTGTAGGATTATTTTCCTTAATAGTTGATTACGTAATCTTTTCCTTTTATGCTTATTTCATTTTAAAGTTATTTGTAACCCTATAAATAGGGTATTTTACATTGTAATATTTACAAGACCATAATAATACAATTTATATTTCTTGACTTGGTATCACAATAGCATAACTTGAAAGAGATGTCTAGTCAACAATGGCAGCTTCCTTGGATATATAGCAGCAATCGGCAGCATCTGGGAAGAATATTGTTGACACACAAAACAGGCAGCCCAAATCAAATGGTCCAAGAGAGGAAATGGATCCAAAGAAGAAGCCCAGATAGAGAAATCGGGATAAAAGGCCCAATCTGAAGTGTCATTAACATATGCGGAAGGCCCAAAAAGACAAAGGTACGACGTCGTCCAAGTCGGCAGGACGCCCAGATATTGAGCGAAGGAAGCACCCTACAATTGCCCAGAGCAGAAGATCGATTGTCGCCCAAGAATGCTGAGTCGCCCAAAATCCAAGAGACGACCAAAGATTGTTGTCATCCAGAATCACGATCTAAGACGGTTTGAGCACATCATAATTACGCCCCACGATTTGAGAAAGTTGATGGCAAGCAGTTATGAAGAGAGCGTAGTGATAGAAATTGCACACGGCAGTTTTTAGCCAGCCGACCATGATGAAAGAAGTGGGTAGTTACAAGCAGTTGCTGAAACGATCAAAACTGC